CCATGGCCGGTAGCGACAGTTGTTTTACCGCGGTCGCAACCTTCTGCGAGGAGGTAATCTCGCAGAAGGAGGCGGCGGAGAAGGCCCGGGAGGATGACCTCCACTCGGACCTGATCCGCCGCCGGCGAACCGGGCGGCGGAGGCGCGCCTACCTGCGCCTCATGCCGCCCTGAGTGTGGCCGCGGGTGGACGGGATGGGTTCTCCCCTCCACCCGCATTAGTTGGCCAGCCGCGAGGGGGCGGCGTCCGCGTGTGCCGGACGTCGCCTAAAGAGAGGGTCCACTGAGACGGAGCCCGCACCAGGAGCGGGCCGGCGCTGGGAGGGGTCCAGAAGGAGATAGCTACCTGGACCCCTCCTACACTAAAAGCGCAAAGAGGGCACACCGTGTGGTTTTAGTCGGTTCGAGTCCGACACACCACCCCGCCGAACGAGAGCCCCGGCGGGGTGACGGTCCGAGGGGATTTCCACACGTAAAAAAAAAAAAAAAAAAGGCTCTGCCGTGTATGAGATGTGTGAGGTTATTATTATTATTATTGAGTTCATTTATATCTTTGAATACGAATTGTTGATGTATGTATGCTTTCCATTTTGTTTAGTAACTAGTTCTTGAAGACCTTTAGTGTTTTAATTTCCTTCCTTCAGAGGTGGTACTATTACTTTAAATTGAATGGGATCAAACTGGTAAACGGGTATAAAAAAAACTACAAAGCGGTTGACAAATAAATGAGTTCCGAGGAAACAAATACTTATCAGAAATAAAACCACATCAATACCCGCCTCCTTTTTTGAAGTCGTTTAAAAAACTGAATATAGTTTTTACCATCTACTTTATATTTATAGAAATACGGATGAACTTTGGACCTCTAGGTGATCACCAGTTTCAATTAACGGTTAAGGCTACCATCACACAGACCTGTTCGCTAACTGGTTTACTTCTACGTCACAATCTGAAACTGATTCATAAAAATTAATGCTAATATATTTAATTTGCGGTTTCGGAGCTCATTTCTAAGATTATCTTTAGTGTTTCAAAATGTTGTTTTTTTTTGTTTTATGCTTAATCATAACTTACTCATATTTGAAATAGGTATGTGAGTTGTAATCTCTGTTGAATTTTCCATTCAGAGCTGTCCTGTTATAATAGCTTTAAACAAAAAACTTTATAAAACATTTAAAAAAAATGTGGTATTCAAACTGAATCATATTAGCACCGTGTATGATTAATTTAAAAATATACAATTATGAGACTTGAATTACACATAAAATGCAGTTTCAGCAGATACTCTGCAACGGGAAAAAGTAGAGACAATTTAGCAAACATGTTTGTTTTAAAATTATTATATTTTAACTGGCTTTTTAAGAAAAGGAATTCTCAAACGCCGATCAAGAAGTTTCCTGTAACATTGAATACAATTTTTTTAAAGTATGTTAAGAGTAATCCATGACCAATTCATTGTTTCAATTGGTTGTACCGTCAAAACGGTACCGTAATAGTCACCATTATCAAGTCAATGAGCAATATTTAAGAGTTTTTAATGTAATGAATTTAAAAGTTCCAGCAAAAACTTGCGATATTTAAAGGGGGCCAAGAAGAGTTGCTGTTTTACTTCTTAACTCTTTCTTCTTCATTCGTCTTTCCATCTCAGCAACTTTTCTTATAATATTGAAATCAAATTGATCATTTAATTCCTAACCGGTAAACGGCAATAGGTTTACCCCGTTATTTCGTGCGATGGTTAACCGTGAGGTAGCCTTTCAAAGATCATCATATCTTTTCTAACCATATCTGACTGTTATCAGTGTCCCTTAGTCAACAACCTACTCACATGTACTTATGTCATTATAATCATTATAATCACTACGTACATACATAACAGTTTAGATGTATACACTATGACGTGACGATGCTTAACTGATAACAGAAGATCCTAAACATGTAAATATTTTGGTTACTATCAGTTCCGATTCCGTATCTCTAAATTTAGTTACGGAATTTAGTTTAATGGATTATGTCAGCTGATTAGTAAGAACCTTGTCATAGTAGGTATGTTCTAAAGTGAGTGGATGGTATATACTAGCATCCGTACCGGCTTCGCACGGGTGCAATGTAGGTACTACTAATGTGGTATCAGTGTGGAGAAATTAATTATACTATTATTATGATAAGACTACAGGACATCTCTATTAACAATATTTATTATTTTAAACCTCTAATATCTTAGAAAATATTCATTTTCATGATATGCTTTACCGGGCAATTTTAATCTACATTAAATGCACAACGTAGCTAACGTATTTAATTGAATAAGTAATAATAATAATGTATTTTTAAATTAGTTTCGGAAATAATCCTTTTTTTGTAGATCTTTTTAAGATATACAATTTCGTAGTACATTATTGTGGTCTATCTCGTAAGGTTTAGCCAGTGTTTGCATTGTGAGCGCATAAAAACATGTTTATTACCACAAATCTTTGAAATTCTCGAAAAATAATACGCATGTATTATACATAACCATCCTCCTGAATCACCCTCTCTATTAGTAAAAACCGCATCAAAATCCGTCGCTTAGTTTAAAAGATGAAAGCGTACCTACAACACAAAAAAGCGACTTTATTTTATACTACGTAAAGATGATGAGGGTAATATATATGTGTATAGTGTGTATTTGCTTGTGTATAAAATTACGTGTGTTGTGTTGTGTAGTGTGTATCTTAGTGATTAGTGTTATAACCTATATGCGCCTACCACTCACGATTTCTACACTACCTAAAGGTTGACTGGGAGAGAATGCCTTGGGCATTAGGTCCGCCGATGTAAAAATGTGCATAAAGTTATAAATAAATAAATAAGTAAATATGGTGCCGCCCCAGAATAAGAAGGGGGCTGTTGTTTTGCTCTGGTAACCTCACTCACTCACACGGGGAAAGGCGTTGAAAGAATTTCTTTAAAATCGGTTTTCAGTAAGTATCCCCGGTCGAACCGGCCCATTTTGCGTAAAATCATGGCTCTCCTATAGCCAATACGGTCCTATAGCATTGTGACCAATAACATTATATACAAACAAGAGGTAGATACGCCACCAAAGCACAAAATACGTGCTGTCAATTGGTCCTAATTAGGACCACTGAGAGCGAGCGCAATTACTAATTAATTCGAGAAAATTCATAATAAATAAAGATTAATGAATATCATGAATGTTTTGTTCTAAAATGCATTAATAGATGTACGTACGGTTGCGGAACAAATGTTTTGTGCGTGCAGTATGAATAAAACGTATCTACCTTAAAATATCATTGATTGAGACACATTGATTTATCTATGCATTTGTTATTACTACGTGAAAAAACTTCTTTGTACCCTTTTAAACAAATATGGCGCACGAAAACATTTTCATATTTGGAATACTTGATATGTAGAAGTGAATTTTAAACAATATGTGAAAAGTTAAACCTAACTCAAAACCGCTATATAAAACAAGCAATCTTGAAGCTGCGACAGTCACACCCACCCTTGCACACAGACAGACTGTTTATGCCTCTTGAAACTTAGCATTTGTTTATATTTTTATTCAATGACTGCCAACATAGTTATGACTAAACTTTATTGCATTTAAAGTTACTGTAATAAATTTAAGTAGGCTTTAAATATATAAAAGCTGTTTTAACTAATAGCTTAGTTAACCTTAGTTTTTAAGGCTCTATTGTACTTACATTTATGTAACTACTTCTATCAAATTATAAGAATCATCAGAATCAAATTATAACAATTATCAGAATCATCAGTGCACTATTAAAGACTGTTGCCTTTAATAGTGCACTGCTGGACATAGGCCTCTCCTTAGAAAGGAGGTTTTGGCCTATTATAATACACTGGCCAGACGGGTAGGTATAGGGTTTGAAGTTTTCCTTCTCTTTAAGACAACAGCATTGCGCTGTTGTCTTACAGTTTACTGCCCTTTTTTTTTTTTCGTGCGGAAATCCCCTCGGATACCACCTATCGGTGGCATGTCGGACTCGAACCGATTAAAACCGCACGCCGTCTCGGGTACTAATAGCCGGGGAACCAGGTATACCCTAGAAAGGAAGTCCCTGGTGCAACAGTTTACTGCCCTAGTCAGCTATTACGACACCTACGAGATGTATAGCGGTGGTGACGGTGACAATAAGTATCCTTAATTTGTCAAATTTCAGTTACTGGTTGTTAAATGAAAGTTGAAAAAAAAAGAAAATTGTTTCCGTGACTAGGTTAATTCATACACGTAGCTCGGGAATGCAATACAATCATGAATGGGCGATAACATCAAATTATCAACTATGACATCATACGTAATCAATCGGATTCTTTCCATTCGCAGGTGTCAAATGAAAATCGTGCAACATTGAAGCAAGTCGGTCGCGAACAATGTGTACTTATAGTAAATGGTTGTAATATACTAGGTATTGCACGATTATTCCTTATTTTGTCTTTCTAACTTCGAAAATTACGAACTTTCATCCAACCGTTCATCCTTTATTTCACCTCCACCGGGGGTGAAATTGCCAAAATACCTTTTTAGTGAGTGCTTACAACATGAAAAGCTTGAGTTTTGTAGTAATTTGAAGGTTAAAGCTCTGCGCGGATGATTCAGTCAGTCCAGTCAGTCAGTCAGTGTCACAACAAGTAACTTTTTTTTTTTGTACAACATTCACAAAACGCCATCTAGTCCCAAACTAAGCAGAGCTTGTACTATGGGTACTAGACAACTGATATAAATACATATATACTTTTTTTTTGTAAATACATACTTATTATACATAGAAACACCCAGACCAAATCAAACATTAAATGTTCATGCACACAAATGATTGACTTGAGCGGGAATCGAACCTGTGACCTTTGGATTAGCAGTCCGTTACACAAACCACTGCGCCATTCGCCATATATTTTACTCTAATCGAGATTAGAGTGCTTAAAACTCTCAAAACCAAGCACTTTGCCGCTCGTCATGATCGAAACAAGATGGCCGTAAGAAACTTAATTATGATTACACGAGTTACAACATGAGACCGATTCCTTGAAGCCAGGATTAAATTGTATATGTTTCTGAATTCCCACAATTAAAACGCGACGTTAAGACTATTAAAAGCAAATAATTCTTTTAATTCGCTTATACTGTTTTGACTAATTAGTGTTTGTTGAAGATTTTAAATGAAGTAAAGAATAATAATAATAATAATTACATACATCTCACACACGGCCTTCTGATCCCAAACTAGGTGGAGCCTGTACTATAGTTACCAGATTGCTGATAAACATACTTATAAATACAAACATATTGTAGACAAATTACACCCAGGCACAGAACAAATGATTGTGCTTATCACACAATATTTATCCCGGGTGGGAATGCAATCGACCACCACCAGACCAACAGGTGAGTCAACTAACGCAGAACGACCTCCGTCCTCCATAAGCGCAGGCCTGGGGGTGACAGGTGAGGCCATCTGTCACCCTAGCAGAAGCAGGCCGGGGTGGCGGCAAGCGCGTTGCGAAGCGCGCTCGCTTCCAGGGAGCACCGGGAACATAGGGTTCCCACACGGGGGGGGGGGGGTCGTCTACTCGTCTGTAGATGACCCGAGGTATGTCGGGGTACCAGGGACTTCCTTTCTAGGGTATACCTGGTTCCCCGGCTATTAGTACCCGAGACGGCGTGCGGTTTTAGTCGGTTCGAGTCCGACATGCCACCGATAGGTGGTATCCGAGGGGATTTCCGCACGGAAAAAAAAAAAAAAGGTGAGTCAACTAACAAGTCAACAACAGTACCTATATGAAAACCTTCGTGAACCCCTCGTTCTTTGTGCAAGTAGTACTGCTCTGGAATGCGCTCCCACTCGAAATCAGGATGTATACAAACCGTTTCGCATTTAAAAATTATGTACATAATTACCTTCACGACGAGACGCCGGAAATACCTTAACCAATAGTACACCTCCTTAAATTCAAGTATTCACAGTGTACGAACATAAAGAATATGAATTTATTTGTATATTTATTTATATACATGTGTAATTAAGTAATATTTATATGTGTAATTTTATAATGTATGTAAATTTTGTTTAGTTTTATATGCTTATTGATAAAAAATATATAATCAGTGATTACAATTGCAACCTCGGTGCACCTACCCTTTAAGATTTATACACCACCTAAAGGTTGGCTGGTAAAGAAACCCGAAACGAAACCATGTTTTCAAACGCACTTCAACGATATTTTGCTAACAGGTGCATAAATTTTGATTATATATTTTTTTGTGTCCTATTGTGTTTTAAAACTATAATATTTGTACGGATATATAAACTTTTTTCTTTTTCTTTCTTTTATAGTTCGAACTAGTGTGTAGTGTACCTTTTTTAAAATATGTACGTGCATCTATGCGAGTACATCTTAAATCTCTAATAAATGTTAAAATTATCGCTTGACAGGCGGCTTAACTATCTTTTCCTATCTTCTCATTTCAATCAGCCATTTCCAGTAAAACTGTTCACGTCATAAACCGGTGAATCTTAACTTGATAAAAATATGTAACACTATCAAGCATCATTTTTGCTATCTAAATATTGACAGTTTCAAACCGGCAAAGACACGGCCTACGGCCGACAAGCAGGTCATTTCTTTTTTCTAATAATCTGTGTCGCCAAAATTCTACCCAAATGTTTACGTCATAGTAAAATTTCGTGAAACAATTAATTAGTTTTATAAAAATGACACGAATAACATTGAAAGGATCAAACGTTTAAGATATTCCATAAAATCAATCATTTACCGAATCATTATGTTTTCAGTGTAACTTTTCTAATTTCATTTTATCACAGAATTTTGCGATGTAATGATATAATTAGAAAAATACTTAAAGCCAATTGAAAAAATGTATGTGTAAACACTAAAAAAAAAAAATGTTGACCTTGTGCCTATAATTGACGATGGCAATAATTATTTATTTGTCCGCGAATTTATAAGTATTTTTCATTACTTGGTATGTATGTGTGTTAATTTATTATAAAGCTTACTTTTTACGTGGATTGGCAGCACATTATTGCTAGGCAGCTTTGTTTTCACCTTCAATTCAACTCCTAATGCAAGCCATTTGCTAATGTAACAAATAATATTCAGATCGGAACATTATGCTGTGAACGACTCTTAAAAAACCTTCCTTAAAAAAATATGTTAACTAACGACTTAATTTCATACGATTTCTCGAAGTTTAGGTATCGGCGTCACATAAGAGTTTCTACACGCCCTCTTTTCAAACCGCCCTACCTCTTGCCTGTTTCGTCGCACACTGAACAAAATTGTGCCATAGAGTGCAACTGTTCATAGTTTTTAATCGTAAATTTAAAAATGGAATTTGAAAGTCACTGGCCACTTTTAGGAAAATTAATTCGAAAAAAAAAACTGTCAGTTTCCCTGCGTGCTACGTCACCCTACGTCGTCCTCTGTGATTGGCTGGAGACGACCACTATATTAAATACGTGAGCTTGAAGCAACACAAATGAGAAACGTTCGCCACTCAGTACGCACGCTTGAATCTCTCGCGACGCGCTACATTCGGTCGTGAACCAAACTTACGGTCGCTTACTATAGTGTTGTGTTCCGATACCCCTATTTACAAAAGTGAGTAACAAACGAAAAATATACACAATTTTTAAACCCAGTGGGTGTCCATTCGGAACCAGTGCGTAATCGGATGCAGGATTAATGCAAGTGATATTACTTAGTACCAAGTAAGCGCTGTTTCTTGTAAGTTTATATTGTTTGCAAACAAAATTTTCGCTTGGTTCCAAATGGATATTCAAATATGGAATTAATGGAGACGCAATAATTATATTCCTTTCAATGTTTGTACTAAAATTAGTATGTAAGTAAGTAATAGGTCAGTGTTTCTCAAAGATTCTACTGCTGTTCAATGTAAATCATCTGTCAAATACGCTGAAGAATACGACTTACCTGACAACTGTTTATATTTTGAGAAACAGTCCACATTGCATTTAAATAAATGTATATCAGATTGTATTATCACCAGTTCTTTGCAACTTTGCCCGAATGCGACACATATAAAAAGTAATCAATCAATCAAATTTGACATTAGAGAGCCTTCACATTTGTCGGCTATCAGTCAACACAGATAAAAAAGATGTCTTTATCTGTTATATAAAAATTATCTAGTTATTCAACATTTCAAAGTGTTCACGTTACTATTTAAATAACTATAATTTAAAATATTGACCTTTCTAAACAAGGTTTTTTTTTTATATAAACATTATTTAATTTCATAAAAACTTTTAAATTATCACAAAAACTTAATTGAATCCGATATTCAAAAGTTTTGAAAACACTAATATAGAATAATAGCAAGATAAACATATGTATAATAAATTTGTTTATATTTCAGTTTTTTATCCAAAATAAACACGTAGCATCACATTAGAATACGCACTTTAAATAAAATTAAACACAAAAAATGAAAGTACACCTCTATTAAACCAAAATCTTATCTCAAAAGTAGAGAAGAAAAGACGTATAGTAGATATCTACAAAAATACCCTACTAAAAAAAATAGTATACCATAGAGTATCATGAAGAAGTTTTGATTTCTTTTTTTTATAAAACAAAATTGATCATTTTCGATTATACGCCATCTTGTATTTTTATTACCAAACATATAAACATTTTTTTTAAACTTATATCTATGTTCAATAATACGATTTAGACCTTTTTCCTGAGGAATAGACTGTTTAGTTTGAGCAATGATCTGTCATATCACTCGAACGAGTCTGCTAGGAAGTTACTTAGTTTGATGGTCAGTTTAAGTCCTGTTATCTTCGATCAAATATACAATAGATACTTTCCCTAACGAAAACCGCTTCAAACAGTGGTACTAGACAGTAGACAGGCAGTAGACTAAATAGTTTACGTGCAAACATGCATGCATTTAATTGGCTATTCTAATTATAGACCAGACCATACAATGAATGCCCGTGTGGATATATATTATAATAGTTTAGTACAAATACTTCAATGTATAGCGTATGTGGTTTACGTGGTAATATAACGTTTAATAGTACAACTATGATTAAAACTGCATTTAAGCACAATTTATTTGTTTGTCATTTTTCTTTTTAACATTTATGGGTTATGTGGTTGAAACCTATTTTAAAACTTCGCAATACCTATGCAAGTTATACATATGCAAAACTACAGTTTTCGTCAAATATCTTTAAGTGAATCCTAAGATAAAAAGATTAGTTTTGTTAAATTTACTTAAATTTTTATTTAGAACTGGTAATGTTTACTGGAATTTTTTAAATGTTGAAATAAAATACTATTTACATTTTATCTAACCCATCACTTGTTTCCGTAATTCCTTTTCCCCAAGACTTAAAAAAATATAGTATATTCCATTTCGACTGAATTATACCAGTTCTTGACAGCTTCAAACCACTTACTCTTACTAATATTATGTAGTTTCAAATAAATTTCCAAGACAAATTGTAGTGGGCTATATGTGGCAGTAGTATCTTAGCTGTTTGTTTAAAGCTAACTTTATTTGTATAATTCATTCGAACTGTCATGATTCAAGTGCTGTGTTTGAACAACCTATTTTAACATCATCGACTCTACACCTTTCTCTGCGCTACGTTGTAAGGATGACGCAATAACCATGATGATTTCGCTACCATAGAGCGTCCTTTCTACTTTTATATTTTTTTTGTACCGTTACACTTTTTTTGGTAGAAGGTGTTACGTTTTGTCTTTTCAATATTGTTTTGTTCCAAATTCGGAAACAGTTTGTTGAAAATTAATTTATTGTTTCTTTGACTTCATTGACAAAAATCACACTATTAATGTGTCATTTAGAATAATCACAAAACTAAAACTGACTTAAAGTACATTTATTATTGCACAATATGCACAGTGCATCATATGATATAAGCATGATGAATGCATGTTTATTACAATTTATGCACTTGTGTTTAGAGCAAGTTCGGATAATACATACCTAAATATTTAGAGAAAAGAAGTTGATTATTTTTCAACTGTGGTTCGCTAAAGCTATAGTTTTTAACATAATTTAAATATGAAGTAAATTTAACAGAGTAAATAAACAATATTTTATTTTATCATAACTTACTAAAACAAAACGCAGTAAATAAGCTGATAACATTTTGATACAAATAATCATATACTACCTTCTATAATGCTTACGTTCAAAATGGCCGCAGTTAAGTCTGTGGTCCGGCAAAGGCAACTACCGTATTCTGCCAAGGCACAAGTAAGTCATAAACAAAAAGGCTCTCAATAAAATGCTCGTAAAAAAGTGCTTATGCAAACAGTACATTATTGGCGATTCGTTCATGTAAAACGAATGCCCACACAAATGGTTTGCGTTGAAACCTTAAGGATTACTCACGTGAGAGAATGTTCTTCGGGTAACAATACGTTTAGCTAAAAAGAAGAAATATTCGTATTTCTAAGCACTAACCAATTATAGTAGGTACCTGCAGGTAAGAGATATTAGATCTGGGAACCAATTCCTTCCAATGAAGTGCGACACTAATAATAACACCACTCTTCTTGCACTTCTTCGTTTTCTTCTTTTATTATTTGTCTTGATATAATAAAAAAACCTTATAAAACTTTAATGCGCCTAAAGCACACACGTGATGAATTGTAACAAACTATTAGCTCCACTTTTAACTTTCATCCCTAAAGGTCGATTTTTTGCTCCAGATTTCAATGAGACCAAAGGGGAAATGTGCCCTTTCAAATAAAGAAAGAATTTCAAATAGGCTCATAATTGACGGCATTCTGACTTCTGAGGTTACAAATATTTAAAAAAACAGTCAAATTAAAAAATAAGGTCACTTTTTTTTTTAAATTGCTTGAATATAAAACGCATTACGCAACAGAAGTCTTGTGTGTACACACGCGTTTATCTGCGCTTTAAAGCCTGTTAAATATAGTGCCTTACCTTACGTGGTATTTATAGTTGTAATGTAATATGAAAATAATAGCATACTTGAGTAAAATGTTGGTTCTATGCACCCTACAAAGGCACGCGTATATAAATTATACAGCTATTGAGAGTAGTAGCCATGTTCTACCTTATTCTATACGTGTATAATATTCATATTGAAATTGAAAACATATTGAATAAAACACAATTCAGTATGCTTAAAATAATTAATAACATGTGTTCCTATACGGTTTGCATAATATTTTTAGACATAATTAATAAATCTTAAGCGCTCATATATCATCTCCTATCCTATGTGGTACCCTATGTCGTTTTCTGTAGGTAATTTAACCATACCATACACTTCAAAATATCCATGATAATATTTGTTAACCCAAATCGAATTTTTCAAAAAAAAAACTCAATTGTCAGCTTTTATACTTCTAAATAATCTATCCCAAGTATTTTTATTATAACAGTCAAGTTAATTTCATACAATTAAAATTCGAAATGAACAGACGATACAGTTATTAAGCGTCCTTATACAAAAGACAGCAACGCACAGGTCCCTTGCTACAACGGTCCTTCCGAGAAGTACTTTGGATCGCAGTGACCCCTAGCGGGCCCACAGATACTATAAAACTTATACTAACTTACATAACCTTCGAATGCCTGCACACAACGTAAAAGGTTTCTCAAAATGTTTGGATTTAAGCATAATTTTCAGTATAACTACGATAATAGATGCATGTATGCGATTCTAATAACACACGTATAATAATATATTGGCATACCTTAGATTCGCCGTCTGATCTCAAATTAGGTGAAGCTAGTGTTAAGGATACGGAATGTCACCATCCCTATTCATCCTGTGGGTGTCGTAAGAGACGACCAAGGGAGCAAACTACGCAGAACAACAGCACTGCAAAGAGAAGAAAAACCGAAACAAACCCTATATCAACTTGTCTGGCCAGCGTGGATTAGTAGGCCAAAACCGCCTTTCTAAGGAGAGGCCTATGTCCAGCAGTGGACTGTTTTAGGCTGTTGGATGGATGTGTTAAGGTAACTAGACTGCTGATAGCCATAATATATTTCTAAATACATATATATTATAGATAAATTACACACAACACGGAAAAAATATAGAGCTCATCTCACAATTAATTGTACTGGGTGGTTACTAGGTGGGAAATAAACCCACGACTATTTAAGGATCGCTAGCCACTAGATCAACTGGCCTGTTGTCCCCCCCGCAACAGTCTGGTTACCATAGTACAGGTTTTGCCTAGTTTAGGACGGCTGTCTATGAAGTTGTTACTATAATGGTTGTAAGAAAGTATTTTTAAATGGCGTCTGTTGAAAAAATATTCTTATATCGGTGCAGTTTTATAATTACTTAACTTATTAACATATTAATCTACAGTATAATGATTGTCACGCGCTCTAAATATTAATGGGTTTTATTTTATTGATAAATCTATTAAATTGTTAATACTTATTTGATAACTTATGCAATTACTTAAACTGAAGACATTAGGTCTTTTATATATCTGGAAAGAATGTTACAGTTGTGAAAAAGGATGCCTCAAAAAAAATGCGTCCCACTATTGGGTCTTCATTTTTTTTGATTATCGCTGTGTGTCACGCGTGTGTGTCA